GTCCAAAGATTGACCATCACTATATATGTGTATTTCAAAAGGTTGTTCCTATCAATATATATACAAATATATAAATATCAATCACGTGACCATTAAACATGACTTATTTCGTTCACTTATCTGGTCGTTCATTTATCATATATTTCCATATGGCAACCTTTTTGAAAACGTTGCCTTTTTGAAAACATTATATATTTTTATATATATATATATATATATATATATATATATATATATATATATATATATATATAATCGTCACCTGACGATTCCTATACGGATGAAAAAGACTGTAGTGGACGACTTTTGGTAATCAAGTAATCATATGTATTATAAATACACTACCCATGTGTTGCAGTTCAATTAAAAAAAAACGGCAAAGTGATCGGCCTTGGAAAGGTTGTGTCTGATGCAAAAAGTGTGCATGGTTTCCAACTAACAGAAGGTTGGGTTTCCGTGGAAGTCGTGCAACTGCATAGTTCGTTTGTGCCCTGCTGGGAAGAATATCCGACATTATCGGACGAAATTGAGGTCGGAAGCTATAGTGCGTGGCTCATTGATGAACTTGAAATGACATGCTCAGGTATGGATATATTACTAATATGCTTTGTAAAAGTCGGCTTCCAAGGCTTCTTCATTAGCGAGTTTCAGATTTGGCATCCACTACCACTATACCGCTGCTACCTTTAAGGAAACATGAAGCAATCAAATGCGACAACTTTAAAGGACTACCGATCGTAGTAGGCCAACAAAGTGATAGTGGAATTCAAATCTGAACCTCGCTAATTACCAACTAACCAACCTGACCAACTTTATTAAAAGCATTAGTGAAAGGTTGTTGGTATATAGAAAAATGCAAAGCCTTTCTGTGGATTAATGTAATAGAAAATGATTACCTGTAATTCATATTTTCAATATAGACGTAGCAGGTATGACCAGCAGAACGGAGGAACAAGGACAACAGATAAAGAAAAATATATTTGTGAATGTAAGGCTCTGCATATAATTACTTTGGATAAAATAATTTTAAGACAATTAATGCAATACACAATGTAATAATATTATATACCTGTCATAATCACAAAAAAACTTTTTTATTATTTTTTAGGAAAACATGCTTTGCAATGGAAGTGAGTGTGCAGATTACCAAACGGATGTAAGTTATATCAAACAATTTAAAAACTTATATACATTGAGCCAAAAATATGCACTGCATGGTAAACCTTGGATAAAATGGAGTGGGCTACCAATAAGGCACTTTAAAAGGATAGCTCTTTTTCTTTGTTGTCTCTCTTTTCTTACATAGCGCTTTTACAGAATATTTTTAAATTTCCTGTTTTCAAAATATTTCCTAACAAATCTAATTTGTATTTCCCAACTTGTTTTATAACTCTGCAATTATTGTGGTGCATTTATATTTGTATCTATTGTCTGAGGTCTAAAAATGCCCGAAAGGACGTTTTTAACAATTTTTGAAAAAATTCTCTTTGCGGACTGCCTGTAAATAATTTTCTTTAATTATTTTCTCGAGTGAAGTTAAGGCAGTTTTCTTGCCCTTAAAACATTGCTGATTTCAGTTTTAGAAAAGTAGAAAAGTAGCATCCTCTGTGGTTGTCGCCACTCGTTTTAACCTTTTAAAAGGTAGCTTTAAATAAACATTGAATCTACGGATTTAACTTTCGCTTGGATCGTCCGCGTAGCCAATCAGGTTACAGGAAATCGTGAAATATGATTGCGGACCACAAGAAAAAAATATTCGGAATATTTGTTAAACACATACCATTCTTTTTTAGCAGGAAGTAAAAAATTCGACTGCCGCTGTGACAGACTGCGCTGTAAATTCAAACAAAGAAGGTAAATACATACCTCCTGTATTAATGCCCGGTACACACATATTACCATGACGCACTTACCAAAACCGATTACTTACCAGATATAATACTAATTATTTTAGACATTTAAAACAGCTGATCACAAATTCTGTTTCTCATTAAGGCCATGTATTCATATGCCTTTATTCTTTGCAGCACATATAGTTGTCGCAACCAAAAAACCCGCAGATAACGCAAGAGTGTATGACAGAAAACATGCATGCACATACTGCGGGGAGTTGTGCTCAAAGATTGCAAGGCATCTAACCACAAGACACAAGGATGAAGCGGATGTCGTATCGGCGTTGACCTACACAAAAAATTCGGTTAACCGAAAAAAGGCTTTAACGAAGCTTCGTCTACAGGGTGATTATCATCACAATATGAATACCCTGGAGACAGGTGAAGGCGAACTCATCATCGTCAGACGGCCAGGACAGGATGAGAAGAAATGCGACATTCACGACTTCCTTCCTTGTGAGTTTTGTTTGGGTTTCTTTCGAAAGTGGGACTTGTGGAAACACCACGCATCTTGCGAATACAAATCCGATGTTGCAGTAACGAACGAACGCAAGCATCAGGTGCAGCAAACCGCGAAACTGTTGATTGCCCCCACGTTAACCGGCAGTGATAATATTACTTTAAACAAAATATTGTCTGCCATGAATCGCGGCGAAATCGCGGATATTGTAAGGAAGGACGAGCTTATAAAGTCTTTCGGAATAATGCTGTTAGAGAAAGATGGGGAAAGGGATTGCCAATTTGTATCCCAAAAGATGAGAGAACTGGGTCGTTTGGTGAAGCATCTGATGGTCGAGGAAAAGAATTCAGCGGTTCAGTTATGCGACTACATAAAGCCGGAAAAATTCGACACGATTGTAAAAGCCGTTAAGGAGACGTCTGGATTTATGGCAGGTAACGGTCAGCTTGACGTTAATATCCCGTCGCTCGCATTGAAGCTCGGTTATTCCATCAAAAAATGCGCCTCTCTCCTACATAACCAAGCGTTACGTGCGAGGAAGGCAGACCAAGTAAAGGACATAAAGAGCTTCCTGAAAATCATGTCAACAGAGTGGGAATATAAGATTTCCCATCACTCCATTTCAACGCTGAAAGAAAGGAAGTACAATAAGGTCCAAGTCCTTCCTCTGGCGGAGGATATAGCGAAACTGCAGAAGTTCCTTGACGAAGAAATCGCGAGTGAAACAAGTCAGCTGGAAGAATTGCCGATAGCAAAAAACTGGACCTCTCTTGCAAAGCTGCTTTTGGCAAGGATTGTGATGCTGAATAAACGTAGAGGCGGCGAAGCATCCAAGTTATTACTCAAGTCGTACAATGAGATACCGGAATGGACCAAATGCGCAACTTCAGAGATCTTATCGAGCTTAAGTCCATTGGAGAAGTGGCTATCGGAGCGGTACGTACACGTAATCTACTTCTTTCTAATATGCTAATCACTGATGACAGCATTACTCCACCCGGTATGACCCTGTCCACACATATCCAAATTCGTATGAATCCGGAAACCTGCGTAATCTTTTGTATCCGCAACGAAATGTTGGAATCTGGAGATGTCTGTCTGATACTAGACAGAATTATCTGAAGACAGAATTTTCTTTCAGTCTTATGGTATAATGTTGCTATTCAAAACATTCGATTACTAGGAGTTACTATCGCAAGGAAATTGCTGTCTTAACATCCCCGGTCAGGCCAAGGATTAAAGGCAGCATGCGGAATTTTAACTAAACTGTTGTGATCTCATTTCCTGCTAATGATTTTAGCTTATTAATTTAAGCTTGTCGCAAATGGAGCTAGTTGACAGTCCCCCAAGATCAAGTGTTGCGGTGGCGTTTTGCGCCACCATCATCAATAATCACCGATAATAATAATTTGCTGCATGACGTCGGCGTTTTGATTTACTCATCCATTACTCAAATTTATTGTATATACCAAAATTTAAGTTAGGCTTTCCTCTACACAAATAATTATTTACAACTCTGAACCCAATAGCTCATAATATCTCGTCAAACCTGTATACTTTTTTCTGGTGCACCCGGTATATGCATGGGCACTAATTTTGTACTTTTGTGTTATAGGTGCGAAATATGTAACTAATTAGTTATACTCTTTCATTTGTAATGCAACTTTTTTAAAAAATTTTCCAACTTGTAAATTACCTTAGCACGGCTATTTTGCCGTACTTTGCAAAAATTCGCACCCAACCATGGTGATTTTACTAATCTATACTAATAAATACACTAATCTATCATAAGGCAATCTGAAAAACCCGCGCAAAATCGCAGTGGCTTAAAAGAAAATAGCAAAGGTAATTTTCATATATTAATTATTCATTTATCATTCTCTTTAATTTTAAATCTTTTTCTGTAATGGACAGCTTCAAATTGAATTCCTTTTTTGCCCAACTAACTATAGTAGCAATGGTGTTGCTTAGTTCCTCAAGTTCAACAGTGACTTGCGGAACAACTTTAATTCAATTAGACAAGTGACACAATCAAATACATTTATTATTCATCTATAACTCTTTACATGCAGTATGAGAAGAATTTTGAAAAAGCAAATTTGGTCGTGTTAAATTAAGAGGGCCTGTTTTAAGTATTTTAATTATATGGCAAGCATCACCTCCGGTTAAATGGTTCCTGTGATTGCCTAGAGAAATTTCCAACGGCCCATTTACTTTCTCATAATAGAAAACCTTCCCGTATGATAGGTCTGTAAGAAAAAACTTATATTTATAATTTATAGCTATAATGTTCTCTCGTATATCGTATAGATACACATATATTTTATTCCTTTCGCTTCGACTGCATGATGTTAACTCCCTCTACAATAATCCCTATATTTTTAGATTAGTGTCAATTCCCATCTGGGCGTGTCCGTATTATTATTATTAGCATTACTATATTACTCTTGAAATGCTATATATTTCTTGTGATTTGTGGCCATTCTTTTGTTGAGCTGTTACTTCTACACCATTCCTTGAAATAACTTTGTATGGTTCTGGGTTGAAATTCGTTGTTAGTTTGTTTTTCTTTTCCTGTTGAAGTCGAACTAAAACATAATCACCAACATGTATCTCGCTCTTTTCTACATTTTTTTTATGATCAGCGTATTCTTTATTTCTTTCCTTCTTTGTTCTTTCGTTGTCTCGAGCTTCTTTGTGTCTTTTAATGCATGACTTTCCTTCGCGTGATCACTGGGATCTTTCCTTTTACAATACGATTAAATAATAGTTTTGATGATGGTACACCTGTGGTACAATGCGGGGTTGTCCGATATTGAAGAAGAAAACGATATAACTCTTGTTTCCATGGTCTTTCTTCTAGCTTTGCTGTCTTTAGTGCCTTTCCCAACGGTTGCATGAATCTTTCTACCATTGCGTTCCCTTGAGGCCAATAAAAAAAAATTGATTGATTGATTGATTAAAATTAAGATCACATGGCAGCAGAAACTGAATTGCGTGACTTATTACATGGGTTGGTTACACTAGTATAGTAAAGCTACTACTATTAGTATATATACAAAGATTCTTGGTTACACTACTATATTAAAAGATCCACTATAATTATATATAAGAAATTCTTATATAGGATGATTACTCTAGTATAAAAAGTTCTGCTATTATTACATGTATAAGAATCTTGGTTACACTACTATATTAAAAGTTCTACTATAATTATATTTACAAAATTCCTTGTATAGGACGTTTAAGGTCACCTAACGGGTCAAGTAACCTAAGATGGACATTTCTTATACAACTGATTATATGCTTTACTACCATAGTACTAGTTGTTGGTACTACTAGGGGGTATTGTACCCTCAGGTCATAAGCTTTAGAATCATGACTTTGCTGTAGTAGATGTTTCAATTTATTATCTGGGCTTTCCTTTATGTTCTGGAATAGTTTGTTGGTGAGCGCTTCATGATGATCGTCAATGGTTTGAATATTGGCTAACTCCAGGGCGGTAGAGTACGAAACACCCGGAAAGATACACCTCAACGCTCTCTTCTGGATGCGCTCCAGATCTTCTCTCAGATATATTGGGAGGGCGTAATGGAAGACGGGACAGGCATAATCCAATGTTGAACGTATGCATGCACAATAGTATTGTACTATATCGGCAGTGTCTACTCCAGATCGTTTAAGTTGAATCAAGAAGTAAAATTTTTGGAAAGCACTCTTTCGGAAAGGCGCGAGTTGAGCATTAGTCCCAAGAGTTTCACACTTGTTACTTTTCTGATTGGTTGACCATTAATCAATACCGGTGGACAAATTTCTTTTTTATTTTGTCTGCTGTAGCTGATAACAAGTTCTTTTGTTTTGTCACAGTTCAACTGGAAAAGATTCTTTTTAGACCATTCGTTAACTTCATTAACAGCCATGCAGCTGGGCACAACTCTGTTCTCCTTTCTGTATAGTTTCCGAAACAGTTGAATCGTCAACGTACTTCCATAGATCGAAAGGATAAGCGGTAGAAAGATCGTTTATCATAATTAAAACATGCAGCCAAGGGCCCAACTTTGTTCCTTGGGGGACCCCTGACCTCACTAGGCCCCAATCTGAGAAACAGTCACATCCTATCTTCACTCTCTGTGATCTGCCGGTGATGAAGCTTATTATCCAATTTAAAATACTGTTCGGAATATTTAATTGTTTTAGTTTGGTTATAAGCAAGGAATGATCGATAAGATCGAAGGCTTTACGAAAGTCAAAAACATCGCTCGAACAGTGGCACCAGTACCATCGGTGTCGTTTAACCATTTATGGAGCATGTTAATTAGAGCTATAGTTGTGGACGAGCCACGTATAGTTCCAAATTGGTTTGGGTCAAGAGATCTAATTACAGATGGTTTAATGTAATCTGTCACAACAAAATCTTCAGCTATCTTAGATATTGACGCGGTGAGAGATATGGGTCGGAGCTCTTTTTGGGGGTCGCTGACCTTCTTAACTTTAGGAATAGGAATTACATCTGCGAGTTTCCAGTTGCTTGGGATTTTTTGCTCTTAAATGAAGCGTTCAGAATGTAAGTAACAGGTTCGGCTAAAATCTTAGCATATTCCTTTAATAACCAATTTGAGATGCCATCAGGTCCACAAGATTTATGTTTGTTTAGACGAGTCAGGGACTTGTAAACTCGATAAACAGGGAGTTCTAGGATGTCTGGATCGTTTTCCAAGTACGCGTTCAGTGGTAGGGTCCAGTAAATGGAAAGCTTGGAGAGGTTCCAAGAAAGCAGCATTTAATTTTTTCGCAATGTCCCTACGTGGTATATCTTGTAATTCAGAAATTCCATGTAGTTTATTTAGAAGGTCACCTGAGTTGTTTTTTTTACTCCTTCACCACTGTTTGGGGTTTTTTCCTTTAGATCTTCAACCTTTGATGAGTAAAACTTTGCTTTGCTATTTTCCTTTCTCTATTCACTTGGTTCCTCAACGATTTATATTCATGTTCGCTACCTTCTTTATTAAAGTGGAAGGCAAGCTGTCGTAGTCGTATAAGTTCCTTGAGCTTTATAGTCATCCAAGGTGGGTCTTTAGGATAGACTTTAATAGACTTTATAGGCATAATATTGTTCATTCCTATTTTTACAGTTTCATTGAAAACTGATAACATACTTTCACAATCCTTTTGGTGCAACAATTGGGGCCAATTAAGGCTAGCCAGGTATCGGGCAAGGGAATCTTTTTTGCTCTGTCTTTTGTCACGAACAAGGATTTTTTTCCTTGTGGACGTAGCACGAGTGCGTTCTCTTGGTTTCAACAGTACGGTGCTATGATCAGATAATCCAAAAGGTGGATTAATTCCGGGTTGTAAGAAGAAATTAGCCTTGTTAGTAAGGATCAAATCGAGAGTAGCTTGGCCCCTTGTTGGCGATTTGACTAACTGCTTTAAATTGAAATGTCGTTGCAGACTATTTACATTAAGATGGTTAAAATCTCCTGCAACAATAAGTCAACAGTTGGGAAACATTGACTCCGCTACAGAAAGACTCTGAAAGAGATGGTTTGTAATAATGCTCCCGGTGGATGGTACACCACAGCAACAATTAAACATGAAAATCCCCGAGGTAATCGTTTTGGGTTAAGCTTTAGCCAAAGAATTTCATGATCTTGACAGCAGTTCAGATTCTCAGGTAATTCGTACGTGAAATCGTCCCTAAGATATATACAAACTCCTCCATGTTGTTTAGTTAGTCTATCTTTCCGGAAAATAATATAACTATCAATATGTACGATAGAGTCACTAATTCTGTCGTTGAGCCAAGTCTCCGTAATGAGACCAATGTCAACGCATTTTCGTAACAGAAACTCTTGTATTTCCACCAATTTAGGTACTAGGGACATCGTGTTTGAGAGCATTATTCGGGGAACAAAATTACATGATACTTGATTAGAGGTTTGTGGTAAGGTTGAAGATTGTGCCACAATGCTTGGTGTGAGGTAGTTATTAAAATTATTTTTAAAATTTTGTGGTCCTCTGCACGTCCTTTCGGTTTTAGTTTGCCGGTTTCCATAAACACGGTTTGTAATTCTGACTTGGATTTGGCTATTTTCTTTTGGGATTTCTAATTCATTCGTAACTTTATCCGGTACCGAGGCATTTAGTGTAGCTTCCCACGTTTGTCCCGGTATGGTAGAGGGAGTCCCCCAAAAAAGAAGAAGACTGTGAGGAATGAGTTGTGGTTCGAGGATTTAGCTTGGATATTTCTGTCGGACTTGGCTTTTCGGGAGGATTCTGGCAGACTTTTAGTTTGCGAGTAACATAATCGCACTCCCCGAGAGGCTCAGGTTTACTCGATGATGGTATTTCGATCAATGGCAACATATTAATCCAGTCTGGTGATTGTGTTGTGGGATTACAATGTTGGTGCTCTTCAGTTAGGTTAGTTGTTATTCTCATCTTCGTTGACCTTGACCGGATTTTGTTTGGATGTTGGTTTCGGGTTGTTACACGGAGCCGAAGGCAACAATGTGGGCAATGTGTTGAGCTTATTGCTTTCATAATGCGTGTTGTCGCTTTTCGATACGTTCGCCTCAACTAAGCGATCGTAGTTGATTTTATCGTGTTCGTTGGCCTGATTTAAGCTTAGGTTGTCAATTTGATCGTGTTCGTTAGTTCGGTCATATTCATTTGAGACTGGAGAGGTTTCGCGTTGGTTCGGCTTAATGCAATCGTGATGCGTATTGCCACTTATCGGTTCGCTCGCCTCAGCTAAGCGATCGTAATTGGTTTTATCATGTTCATTTGGCTGATTTAACATAGGTTGTCGGTATGATCGTGTTCGTTAGTTTGATCATATACATTTGAGACTGGAGAGGTTTCGCATTGGTTTGGTTTCAGATGTTTATCTAAATATATGTGCATAATTGTTGCCTTTAAAGATTCATTGTTTACTTTAGCCGCTTTGAGATCGTTCTCAAGGGAGGCGATAGTTTTGTTTAATTCGTATACTTCATGGTTTCTTCCACTAACTAAAGTGGCTAAATCGCTCTCGAGACGTTCGCACTTTTCTCTTTCATTATCAAGATCTTTTTAAGGCGAACAATTTCGTCTTTCTCATCTTTCACTAGAACGCCAACGGCCGCTAATATTTTGACTCTATATTTTTGTTCATAATAACCATGTCAAGCTTGACTCCCTCGAGTTCGGCAGACAGTGCGCCACACTGACAACCACATTCACGCGCAGGAAGATCCAATTCACGGCTGTCATATTTCTCAGCTTGGATTTTATTCTCAGCTACGTATCCTTCGACGCCGAAATCGGGATTGAATTTTTTATATGAACAGGAGCACATATATTGATATTGTCATCAGCACTCAAGCGATCAATTTCACAACGTTCGTTTGAAAAATGGGTTTCAGATTTACTTTGTTTTACTTCACAGTAATTTATACAAACACTCTTTAAAGCCTCGCCGTCCCTACCTTGGAAGATCAACGAGTTTTGTTTGTCCGGACACCAAGTAAAACTGAGATCTGTGTTCGAGCTAACAAATTTCTTTCTTTTGCCACCAGGCGAAGACCATTTTCCATCGAGGCGAAAGGTTTCAGATGTAATTTGTTTCAGTAAATTCAAATCTCCATTCCATTTAACTCTCTTTCCATCATAATAAAGATTAGAAAGATTTTCGTTCGTTAAAAACGTTGAAAGTTTAAGAAAACAGCACCAATTTGATGATTTCCTTGATTGTGCTGTGAGGCATGTTTACACGCCGCCAGTTCACGCAGTACAATAAGGGGTTGAGAACTTAGTTTCAATGCCAAGGGTTTTCATATACCGTGCATATTCGTCTCCATTGAAGGGAGGTCATTGTCAGATATGATTGTGTCGGGTATTCAATGGACAGAGTAAATTTTGTCCAGTTTCAGAATTATGGTTGAGCTCGTGTCGAATGAACAATGTCCACTTCTGGAAATCTCGAATATCTATCCACTACCACTAAAAGATATTCAGACGTCGGTAGTGGTCCATAGTACGGAAGTCTACGTATGTGTTTGTCCATGGTAGTTCTGGCATTTCTGTCATGCGTAGAGATTCGGGGTGTTTTGGTCTATCTGCAGCCTGGCAGGCTATGCACTGTTCGATTGTGTCCTTTACTCGATTATCGATTTGCGGAAACCATATTTTCTCACGAATTAGTGATTTTGTCTCTTCAATGCCTAAGTGCGTCTCGTGTCTATTGCGCGTTGTTGCCACGCAGCTGGAATTACAATTCTTGATCCTCTCAATTCCTAGTGCCGTGGTGGTCAATTCATTCTTAACTGTTTTGAATTCTTTCACTCCGGGAGAATCCCACTTGTTTGTTTTGATTGCGTCACTCATGCAGTTCCAATAATGCCGCGTCACTGTTCTGAGTTATGAAATTGATATATTGTTCTGTCATCTTCTCCTGTTTTCGCTTACTTTCGTTAGTTGGATGACGAGAAAGATAGTCCGCCGGATTATTTGCACCCGATTTATATATTATCTTGCCGCATATGGTTGGAGGCGAAGTATCCATCTTTCGATACGTGCCGATGTTTTCGCTGTACGTTGTTTTGCCGATGTTTTCCCTTTACGGTCGGTTACTAATGTGAATTCACTACCAAATAAATAATGAAGTGTTCAACTGCCAAAATTATCGCTAGCGCCTCTTTTGTGTTTGAGAATATCTTTTCTCAGTGTCGGTCAACGCTCGGCTGGCATACGCAATGATCTTCTGGTTGTTAATATCACTGTTTTTTTTTTTTGTGACAAAATCGCCGAAACCACTACTGGTATCAACGACCACAAATGTTTCTTTCTTTTTGTCGAAGTACGCCATGAATGGCGCAGTAGCGAGTGTGTTCTTCAGCTTTTCGAATGCGTTTTGATGTTTTTGCGTCCACTCAAAACGAGCGTCTTTTCTTGTGAGTTCACGTAGTGGAGCGGTCAGGGTTGCAAAATCCCTAATGTATTCACTAGAATAGTTCGCCATTCCAAGGAGGCTTCTGATTTCATGCGCATTGGTTGGCTGAGGTGCGTTTAGTAGATCAGCGACTCTCTTAGGATCAGGTCTCGTACCTTCTTCTGAGAATATTTGTCCGAAGAATGATAATGTATTTCTTAGGAAGTCACACTTGTTTTGGTTTAGTCGCAAACCTTTCATTGCAAGCCGTTGTAGACATTTATTAAGATTTGCATCGTGCCCGGCTCTTGTCGACCCAAACACATTATATCGTCCGCTATGTTTTTTACGCCTTAAGTCCTTGAAGTGCAGTTTGGAGGGTGTATTGAAATATCTCTATGCAGCGTTGGTACCATAGTACGTTAAGTCTCTTGTATCGAAACAATCCTACGTGCGTGCTAAATGTGGTCACAAATTATCGAGACTGTTCGTCTAATTCTAACTGGTGATACGCTTGGCTCAAATCGAGTTTCGAAAAGAATTTACGTTAAGAACCGTTGTGGTTGTGCTTTCGATGTTTGTGTTTTATCAATGTCTAGTTTAATTTTCTGCCCCTTTAATTTTCCGAGTCCCGAAAACACTTTAGAGTGCTTATGAATGATGTTTTCAAGTGATGTATCAGTGATGTATTACTGGTGTATAGTGATGTATTACTGGTGTGAGTTTGTCTATATATGCAAGCTAACAAGTCCGATGTCTTTGGCTGTGGAGAGCGAAAGTAAATTTCCACTATTTTCGCCTTTTGCTACGTAAAATGTTGCCACCGAAATCCGCTTCCTTGTTTCTATAACCGCTTCGAATTTGCCTAAGAATTGCAATTTCTACAAATTACGCTAGTACTATAGGTTTTGTTCTAATTTATTTGTCTCACCGTCTTTTGGTTCTGTTGATTCAATCTGTTTTGCTTGATATGCTCTGTTCGTCTCGCCGTCCTTCTAACATCATGGCTTTTAAATCAAATGTAGGGTCTCGCAATGCTCATCTTTCACTAGAACGCCAACGGCCGCTAATATTTTTGACTCTATATTTTTGTTCATAATAACCATGTCAAGCTTGACTCCCTCGAGTTCGGCAGACAGTGCGCCACACTGACAACCACATTCACGCGCAGGAAGATCCAATTCACGGCTGTCATATTTCTCAGCTTGGATTTTATTCTCAGCTACGTATCCTTCGACGGCCGAAATCGGGATTGAATTTTTTATATGAACAGGAGCACATATATTGATATTGTCATCAGCACTCAAGCGATCAATTTCACAACGTTCGTTTGAAAAATTGGTTTCAGATTTACTTTGTTTTACTTCACAGTAATTTATACAAACTCTCTTTAAAGCCTTGCCGTCCCTACCTTGGAAGATCAACGAGTTTTGTTTGTCCGGACACCAAGTAAAACTGAGATCTGTGTTCGAGCTAACAAATTTCTTTCTTTTGCCACCAGGCGAAGACCATTTTCCATCGAGGCGAAAGGTTTCAGATGTAATTTGTTTCAGTAAATTCAAATCTCCATTCCATTTAACTCTCTTTCCATCATAATAAAGATTAGAAAGATTTTCGTTCGTTATTACGCTAGTTCTATAGGTTTTGTTCTAATTTATTTGTCTCACCGTCTTTTGGTTCTGTTGATTCAATCTGTTTTGCTTGATATGCTCTGTTCGTCTCGCCGTCCTTCTAACATCATGGCTTTTAAATCAAATGTAGGGTCTCGCAATGCTCGCTTTCGTATTTTCGATAAATTTCTGCCAATTATGATCTGTTCCTCTATTTCAAAATCAACGTCTGCGAATTCACATGTTTCTGACATTGTTCTTAGCCTTGTATGGTATTGGTCTAACGTTTCATTATTCCCTTGTGTTGCTTGTCTGAATTGGTATACTTCGTATCTTCGGTTCTTTTGAGGATCGAAATATGTCTTCAATTTTTGCTTTGCAACATCGTAATCTGCGTCTTTTCCAGTCTCGGGGATTTGTTTAAAAATCTCTCGCACTCTAGGTCCGGCTTGGTATAGTAACACTGCCCTTTTTCTAGTTGGATCCGTAATGCCACTTGCCGTTAAATACATCTCAACGTCCGATTGCCAATTGCTTCATTTTGTGGCTATGCTTGTGCCAATTTTCGCATCAGGGGAAAATTCTGGCATAAGATTCATCGTTATTCCAAGGCGCGAAAAAAAAGGCGCCACAAAAGGCACGAGGCGCGAAAAAAGGCGCGACAAAAAGGCATGAGGCGCAATAAATAGATTATCTCGTTTTTTTATTATTTTTCATCGTCGCAAGTGTGTTTTGGCGCGAAATATATTAGTGTTTGAAAAGCGAAAGGTCGTACCGTTTTACACCGTATGTAACCGTATTTAACTAGGTTGAAGTTTTGTCTCGCAAGAGTCGTGGTGCACTGAAATTAAGTAAGTAAGTAGTAAGAAAATCTTTCACGATGCCGCGATTCGATTTCGCTCGCGTGTTACGGCAATCTTCCACGAGGAATGACTAAACCATTGTTTCGATGCTGTTCGATTATGTTTAGGTTAAATCGGGGTAAAAAATATTTAATACCTGTATATTTTAATAATATCGCTGCTATTTTAGCGTTTAAAAATGTGGTCGTGTGTCGCACTTTGACAGGTCGCACACGATTGAAGAATACGATCAAACACAATACGAACCATTTATATTTATAAATTCGCGAAAACATTACTCTGATTTACACATATTGCACGCTAATATAAGCTCTAAGGTTATCATATGAGCAAAAGCTTTTAATATAAACGCAAATTCCAAAGTCTAAGACAAAGTGAAGTCATGTCCGTACGTAGACATATCATGCGGTTTATTTACATTTTTGAATTTCTAAAGTGCAATATACTTCTGAATGTCGAACAACGTTTAGTTTCTCAACGCTTCTATACTTTGAACTGCACGGTGCGCTGTCTGAATACCGAACAACATTTAGGTTCGCAAGGCTTCTACATGAACTGTTTAGTGTTTACGTTCAGAAGTTTTATATTGAAGATGACACATGCGCGGCACGCCGGAGCACTGTGGCCGGAGTTAACGCCAAATCTGGCGTCTTGTTTTAGATTAATGTCAATTCCCATCTGGGCGTGTCCGTATTATTATTATTAGCATTACTATAATAGCCTCGGAATGAGAGCGATTCGGAGAAATATTGCCCGAAGCTAGGGGTGAAGTTCGAGGCAAATATCATCACTAAGAAAGCTATTTCGCCGAACCCCTGGAGGGTCTATGAAGGATATATTACACAGGATTTTTTTGAGTGTCTTTTACAAGTCTATTCATCAAAATACGAAAATTTCGTCGCCGCCCGTGTCGGCTCTCGCCATGTCGGCTCCCCCGTGTCAGCTCCTGCCATTTTTTAAATGTTTCGAGCAGATTCAAGTAGTCCACGCGAGACATGACATGAGATAAATTTAACACCACACCCCACTGTGACACCCCAGTTTAGAAAATAATGTTGGGACACCGCAAAAAATTGGCTGGTCATGTGCTACAAATACTGTTTTCTGATCGATTGGATAAAAAGAATTTGAGGTATAATATCTCTCTGTAAAATCCTTCCGCTCGATCATAGGATCGGATAGGATTTTGGTAGGATGACGTGCCCTTGCGTCGCGTGCAGACGCGGAGCTCTGAGCTCTGTATCAGGGGCAATTTTGTACGCATTTGCCTCGAATTTTTGCTACTGTCACTGTGGAAACGGTTTGATAAAGAGTTTGTGTTCCTGAATTGGGAGAATCGTGAATTATTCTAAACATATAAAGTGGTTTTTTACTGCAAAACGTTCTGGTGAGTGGATATTTTGGAAATTTAAGTTACGAGAGCACATATAAGAATCGGTTGATTCTCGCGCAAGCTAACGAACGGTGTACGCCATAAACGATCATCACACGCTAACGCACGCGCTATAACGGTTGTTAGATACATCAGAACAATTTGGAGCCAATTTAGAACTTATTAGAATCAAATCGTATTATAAATGGGCAAGACACATCTGAAAACACGACAAAACAAGTTTAATGGATGGCCCTTCTTACTCGTTATAACTCTCTGGTTATCAATACGTCTGAAACCTATAATAATCCATCTCCATATCAAAACTACTCCTCAAAACATCTGTATTTCCTCTCAACTTACAAGCCTACCGGACAGATTATGTTTTCTTTGGACTTCTACTCGTGATAACAAGTTGCGGAGATCAAACCATGCTATCAATCTCCGCTATGGCCTACAATTCCAAATTAAGCAAAAGGCATTACATGTTGTCCTTCTCATCCTACTCGCTGGCGATATTGCCACCAATCCTGGACCCCAAACCACAACTCAGCGTTGGCTATCATTTAATGCACAAAGTCTTCAAAGCTTCAACAGAAGAGAAGATGGAACATTCTCAAGTAATCTAAGATCGTTTCAAGACCTTGTTTACTCGGAAAATCTCGATGTAATATCAGTCACTGAAACATGGCTTAATGACAGTGTGAGTGATCATGAAATATTACCTTGCTCTGAATACAACATCATCAGAAAAGATCGGCCATCCAACAAACGTGGCGGTGTACTATT